TTGACGGTACCACCTCATTTAATATGTACTAGACAGAGGACTCAGTTCAAATCAGCTTATGTAATAGATAGTGGGGTTTAGGCACTGTTCCTGAGGGATACCTATGACTTTAAAAAAATTATATGACAGGTTTCTGCTCAATCCTAGAAGAGCAAGATACTTAGATAAGTTAAGAACATAAAAACAGCCCTGCTGGATCAGACCAGTGGTCCATCTAGTCCAGCATCTTGTCTCACGCAGTGGCCAACACAGGGCATAGAGGTCAATGCCTTTCCTGACGCTGCCTCCTGGCGCTGGTATCCAGAGCTTTACTGCCCCAAAATGTGGAAGTTCCCCCTAAGTCATCAAGTCTAGAAGCCACTCCATGAATCTAACCTCCTTTTAAAGCTGTCTATGCCTGTGGCCATTAAAACATCCACTGGCAGTGAATTCTACATTTTAATCAGTCATTGTGTAAAGTAGCATTTCTTTTTGTCCATCCTGAATCTACTGCCCATCAGCTTCACTGGGTGCCCTCAAGTTCTAGTATTTAGGGAGAGGGAGGAATGGGCTCTCTTCACCCCATTCATAATTTTGCAAACCTCTATCACATCCCCCCTTAATCATCTCTTGTCCCAGACTCTTCAGCTTTTTCTCATAGGGAAGGTGCTCCAACCTGTAATCATATTGGTTGTACTCCTTTGTACTTGGTTCCTGCTCTGCAATGTACTTTTTGAGACATGGTGCCCAGAACTGGACACAACATTCCAAAATAAGGCTGCAGCATAGATCTATATATATTGGGCATTATAATATCAGCCATTTGATTTTCAATCCCTTTCCTAATAATCCCCACCACAGAGTTTGGCTTTTTCGCTGCTGCAGCACACTGGGCTATTAACTATCACCCCGAGGTCTTTTTGTCTCTCAGCCTCAGCAAGTTCAGACACTATTATCATATACGTCAAGTCTGGATGTTTTTGTTCCAATGTGCATCATTTTACACTTGCCTACCGTGAACTTCATTTGCCATATTGCTGTCCACTCACCAAATTTGTGCCTTCGGATTTCCCCGACCTGAATAATTTTGTTCCATTTGAAAACTTGGCGCTTCACTACTCAGCCCCAGTTCCAGGTCATTAATGAATAAATTAAATACCATTTGGACCCAATACCACTTCATGTGGAACCTCACTGTTTACTTCTCCCCCTTGCAAGAACTGTCCTACTCCTTGCTTCCGGATGTTTAACCAATTTTTAATCCATAAGAGGACCCATCCTCTTATCTCATGACTGCTACAACTACTTAGAAGTCTTTGGTGAGGTACCTTATCAAAAGCCTTTGGGAAAGTCCAGCATATAATGTCTACCAGGTCACCATTCTCTACATGCTTGTACACTTTCTCAAAGAACTCCAAAGGACTGGTGAGGTACAGCTTCCTTTTACAGAAGCCATGCTGATTTTTCTTCAGCATACTTTGTCCCTCTATGAGCCTCAAAATTGTATCTTTTAAACACCTTCTTTCTTTTTTTTTTACCATGATAGAACATAATATAACAGTAACATAAGAATTCCATGTACAGGAGCAGTGCAAATGAACAATACAGGTAAGTTAATACAAGGATAGAGCATTAAACTTATCAGGAATCATCTGCTTTGCCTTAGTATTTCTTTCAATGTAATCTAAAAAGGGGAACCATTTTTCTAAGAAAACTGGATGATGGGTCGTATTCTCGGCTGTAAGTACTTGGTTTTTGGATTTAGTTTCCCCAATAGATCTTGAACGTCATCTCTCATCACCTCAATTTGACGTTCATCAGTGGTTGTGGCATGGGTACATGGCCCACACTTGTCACAGTAAACACAGAGGGGAAAAAATTATCTAGCTTCTCCTCCCATATTTTAGCAATACTTTTATTCCTTGGTCATCCAAAGGCTCAGCTGCTCATCTGGCTGGTTTCCTGTTCTGGATATCTGTTTGAAGAACTTCTTATCATTTGTTTTGATGCTTTTAGCAATCCACTCCTCAAATTCTCTTTTTGCATATCTAATTAGCACTTTTTTGCCAGACCATGTGCTCCCTTTCATTCACTTAGTTCAAAAAAAACTTTTGCTTTTTAAAATAACATTTTTGTTTTCTGTGGCTTCCTTAACTTGGATAGTTAACCTTTCCTAACCTGGAGGGAAGTGAGCTATCTGGGCTTCAAGCAGTGTTATTTTAAATAGCTTCCAAGCATTTTCTAGGGATTTGACTCTTGTGTTTCCCTTCCAGTTTAACCATTCTTCTCATTTTTGTAAAGTTTCCTTTTTTGAAATCAAATGTTACGGTTTTGGAGTTTAGGAGTAACATTCCATTGACAAGAGTGCTGAACTTAGCACTATGGTTGCTGCTCCCAAATGGTGCAACGTCCTCTACACCTCTCACCGGTCTTGAATCCTGCTCCTTTGGTTACCTCTGTGACCATCTGTGCCACTGCACAGTCATTGATGATGTCTTGGAATCTCATTTCTACAGCAAGGCTTGAGCATGTTTACTCAGTCAATTTGAAGGTTGGTGAAGTCACACATAGGGGTGTGCATTCGGTAAAACCGAACCGGAAAAAAACTGGGAAAAACTTTTTTGGTATTTTTCAGGTATCCGGCATACCGAATCAGATCCCCTGAGCTGATTCGACTGCCAAATACTGAATGCCGAAAAAAACCGAATTTTTCTTTCTTGGGGAGGTACTGCTGCCTGCCTTTTTCCCATCCCCATAGGAAACAATGGAGGATTGGGAGCATCCTCTTTGGATGCCCCTAGAATTGGACTCCCTGGTCCAATCTTTTCCAAACTTGGGGGGGTCTTTTGGGGAGAAGCTTCTATCTCAAACCCCCTCCCCCCAGCTCCCTGAATACTTATTAGAAGATTTTTGCCATTGACTACAATGGCCCCATAGGATATAATGGAGCTGAAAATTTTCAGGAATAATGAAAATTTTCAGGTACCAATAGAATACCAGTATTGGTATTCGGGTATATTCGGGAATCCCCAACAAAAATCGGCTTTATTATACCCGAATTTTAAAAAACCCAATTTTTCCCCTGTACATCCCTAGTCACACAGTATCACAAAATTACCTGATTTCGTCATCTTGCTTATTCTTATCTGCATGCTTAGTAAAAAATCACAATATGCTAGCATCTTGTGTTGGTGGCTGAGTACAGATAAAAACAGTAAATATGGATACTGTTTATTGATATACCCTTCTAATTAACATACCTGAAGCAGTAAATGGTATTTCAGAACTCGCTGCATGGGAACCACAAGAAGATCCCGCAAAGTAAACTTCCCATTATTGGCTCTTTTCGAACATTCCTAGTTAGGAACAACAATGAAGGCTTCAATGTGACTCCAGTATGATTATTTTTAAAAATTAAGGAGGCATATATGCAGTACACCATATATTATATGGTAGGTGCCAATATATTTGGAAACTAACCCCCACCTTTAATTTTAAATATACTATCAGATACAGATTGGAAGATAGTGTTTTCAGTGTAAAATGTAATATAACTTTATTGTTAAAAGTCATTGCTGATACCTCCAGTTTCAACTTAACGTCTTCTTTTATCTTGGAGATACTGTCTAAACAGGATATGGCTATCTCTACCTGGCTGCAGTACTGCCCATAGATGACCAACCTACATAAAGACGAGAGAAAAACAGTGAGTGATTATTTAAAAGCTGTCTTCTAATCCATGCAAGCCAATCACAGCCTCCACACCTGGTCTCGCAAGCTTAATGGACAGATGGGGGGGGAGAGAAATCTGTACTCCAGGCTAAAGAGATGTTGCTGTTCCCAGCTGCCATGCCTCATCTGCCATGCCCAGCAACTTTTCACTGACTGCCATGACCACACACAGTTTGCGATTCTAAGTAATCACTGCAGGAATTCTTTGCAATCAAATTTTCTCTCTGAATCTACTGTGAATCCACTTGAAGGCAGTGTTAACTGCCCCACTTATTAGTCTGAAAGTACAATTCTAAAAGCTTTTTAACAGTATGTGTCTTATTAGTGCTTGTTATGTTAATAGACAGATTTCAAAGGATGTGATGAATAATGGTCAGCAATGTAGGATTAAGCACTGGATTAATTACATCTAGCCCCTTTTTATGGAAACAGCAAGCCCAGAATACCCATTTGCCAGTCGAGTTTACATTATTAGGAGAATTTAAGTCAAGATAACAACACCCAGCAGCTAAAAAAACATTACCCCAAAGACCCCACCAAATAACTGTGAAGATCAGATGGTCTTATTTTAACAGATTTTGATCAGCTACAGAAAAGAGAGCATAGAGATTCCCCAGTCCACTATTATTTACTAAAATTTTCTGGGCCTTTTTCACATTACCTTTCTAAACTGGGTGCTATCAGTCATTGGCCCAGTTCTGAGTAAAGCAATACAGGGACAGGGGTTTCATACAGCAATTTTTTTTCCATTAAGGGGTTGTCCCTGAAGCACTATGGCCTTTTCAAACAGTGCCGCTCCCCCCCCCCCACACGCCCTTTTCCCTGCACGCACAACTTTCCTCGGACATTTTTTTAAAAGGTTCTAATGTGAGTGCTACCTCGCTAAACCAATCTCGCACTATAAAGAGCTTCAGTGGCCCCATTGAGATGCCTGGACTCTCAGCCTCATTTGCAATTCCCCCTCCCCAAGCCCCCCTTGCAGCTCAGCAATGCAAAGATGAGGAGAAAGAGGGTGCTCTATCAGGTGTGCTACTTCTTTGGTTTAACCCTTTCAGTGCCTCAGCAGAGGCAGGGTGGGGAGCACAAGATTGCAAACTATCGGATTATGTAGCTCCACTTTTTCAATAGGATTCTCCCCTTCTCCCTTCCTTTAAAGGCTTCCCAGGCAGTTTTCATGCTGCATGGAAATGCACCACTGGGGAGACCTGTACTTGATGGACTTCTGTCTGTTCTGCATACTGAAGGTACAAGAACAAAGAACAAGGCCAGCTTAATTCCTAACAATCTATCCTCGCTGAATCTGTCTAACCTACACCTGTGGCTATCACTACATCCTCTGGCAGGAAATTCTACATTTTAATCACTCTCTCTGTAAAGTAGTATTTGCTTTTGTCTGTCCTGAACCTACTGCCCATCAGCTTCATTGGATTTATGGGGGGGGGTGTTCAACTGAACAGGAAAGATACTGGAGGAGTGACAGCAACAGCAGCATATGCAGGGCTGGTGCTAGCAAGAGTGAACTAGGTCTCTGAACTAGAACTTGAGGGCATCCAGTGAATTGGGGAGGAAAGGGGTGGGGGAGAATGCCAAAGAGCTAAGTCCTTTTTTGTGTTCCTTTCCTTTTCTGCCTTCACCCTCCATTCCTTTCCCCCACCTTGGGATAAAGTGCATTTTCTCTTTTTCTTTGCATCGCTGAGCTGCATTCGGGGGCTTGGGGAGGGGGGACTGCAAATGAGTCCAGGCATCTCTATGGTGCCACTGTGACACTGACTTGCTATATTTGTTTAGCATTTTACCGCTCACATAAGAATATTTTTTAAAAACCTCAGAGGGAGATTACACGTGTGTGGGGTGAAAAGAGGAGGGGAAGGAAGGCAGCATTACAAGAAGCACTACGGGGCACATCACACTGCACACCACAGTGATTCAGAAGCAGAAGGAAGGATTTGAAACTGGAACAAAGCAGTTTTCATCAACAACGGCTCAGGCATGCTTCCCCAATGGGACACAAGCGGGTATGTCTGAACAGATAAATTAATTCTGTTAGCAGCCGGTTACTAAAACAGGTCTGTCTGAAATGGCAGAAAAATTCTGCTAGTAACCAGTTACTAAAACAGGATAGGCTGTCTGAAAAGGACACTGTTTTTTTGTGTTTTTTAAAAAAATTATATTTATTAGGTTTTTATACATAGTCATTTGTTCATTCTTATACATACATCGCAGAGCCTATCATCTGATTTCTAACCATTTATACATTCCCGACCATCGTTTTACAAAAGCTTCCTCACTTTTCCCTTGTAGCATTAAACTCAGTTTATCTATTTCAGCTACTCCCATACGTTTCTCTATTACTTCATCTATTTTGGGGTTACTGTCTTGCCAGGACACTGGTTTTAAAGATAGCAATAACAGGCATCCTTTTTAGCCCAAGTGTGAACATCTACTTCTGAAGATGTTAGCATACTGGTAAACAAAAGAAGGGGGAGAGACAAAGGCTCTACTTGACCAGAGACACCAGTAGCACTTCAGGGGTTCACCTTGGCCCACGGGGTGGACAATGAGCCCTGCTTGCCAAAAAAAAATCACCTGGGGTGCAGCTCTCCATCACACATGCCAGAGATTGCCTACCCTATCCTAAAACCTTACAGTTTTCATTTATCTTTCCCACCATCATTGTGCATGCAGTTGTAAGTTGTAAATAAGAACTGAGCTGAATTTCAGGAAAAAAATACAGACCTCCTGGAACTGTACCAGGTAGAGAAAAATCACATAATTAATTGCATGCCCCCATTAATTTAAAAGAATCTACCTATGGAAAGCTAACATGGAAGGAAGAAAGGAATACATACCTTAGCCTCAGCCCTGGATTTACTCACTTATTTTATGTGTGGACTATTATTTTTACAGTGTCTGCTTTCAAAGGTGCAATAATCCCCATTTGCATGCTGAACTAGTATAATCTCCAAAAGGCTATATTCCATAGATTCCCCCCCCCCAAAAAAAGTGTAGGTCATCACACAATAACAAAAACTGGTATGGAAGATTACTGGGTTTTGGAATACCCAATTTTCCTATATCCTTTTCTTTTGGGACTCTGAGGAGGAAGTGTGCAGCTGGTGGTCTTGCAGCCACTAATCCCCCTCACCTACCCACTCCTGTGACTGAGCATATTGCAAAGCTTGCAGGGGAGGGGAAGTGGTTACCTGGATACAGAGGGCCCTGAAAACATAGGTGGGAGAAAGGATCCAATGGTATTTTGCCCCCGTCATCAGTAGGAAGGGCCATGACCAGTGGTAGAGCATCTGTTTTGCACAGAAAAGGTCAGATTCAATCCCTAGTGATTGCGTAGCAGGTGATGTAAAAAAAAATTACTCCCAAGATCAGGGAGAGCTGCTGCCAGTCAGAGTAGACAATACTGACCTTGATAGACTCAGTATAAAGCACCTTCATAAAAGGACAGGGTAACTTAATGTCAGGGGCAGGAGAGTTACAATATGGGTAATATATTCAAAACCAGGAATAAGGCCCATTGTGGAAATAAATACAATGAGCACTAGAAAGAGGTTCTGGGAGAGTGCCAAGGCCGTGGGCACTCAGCATCAATTTGCCATGGCAACCTCAGCAGGGTATAAGGACAGAGACTACCATTTTCTCCAGGGGAACGGATCAATACCATCTGGAGAGCAGTTGTAATTCTGAGTGATCTCCAGGCCCCACCTGGAGATTGGCAACAGTAGTTCCCCATGAGGGAATGGCTGGTTTGGAGGGCAGAGTCTATGACATTGTATCTCTCTGAGGCCCCACTCCTCCTCAAACCTCACCCTCTCCAGGCTCCATCTCTCAAATCTCCAGGAATTTCCCACCTGGAGTTGGCAACCCTATCTCCTTCCCAGCCAAGCATCAACCTACCTTTATTTCCCCCTCAC